GTTGCTGTGCTGCTCGTCTGTTTGCTGTGTCGTCCATGCCGTTACTTTTTGGCGTTGTGCAGTTGGGTTTCTCTGGCAGTGTCGAGTAGTGCTTTACTGAGTTGTTACCTGCGGCTGTGTTCCGCTTGGGGACAGTCTGCCGTCAACAAGGGTCGAAGGGTTCATGACCCAAACCATCAATACGGGGATTCATCCTTCCACAAGGAAGTAATCAATGCCACCCACTCGGGCCTCCCAACCATAATGGGGAGGAGCGTGTGTGAGTTTCCAATGTATTTCATATTGACTTGCCGATGGAATAGGAACCGGACTGTTGCTCCCTTGAATGGCAGGAGCCGGAACCGCGAGGTTCTGATTAAAATAATAATAAAAATAAAAAAATAAAAAAAATGCAGAGTCTGCAGACTGTTGGTGGGGAGTGGCACCTGCTGGAAAGCGGGTCCAGCTTCCCTGAACATTGAGAGTTGATTGTATGAGTGGATGTGTAGTTGTAATGGTTGTGAGTGTGGAGATGTAGTTTGTAATGATTGCTGACTAGTGGATGCACCTACATACTGTTTTCTATCCCTTCATCCCCCTATATGGTTGTTGTTGTTAATGCTCTTGCTTGATTAAGCAGATATGCAGTTTTGGTGATATTGCGCTGCAGGAACTCCCCCCTAAGGTCTGAGTCTGGTCCACAGAAGGGGGTGGCCTCCTGACTGGCTTGCTTATCAACAGACTACAGTGGGTAATGATATGCTCAGCTCTCATGGCTGCTATTAAGGGACTTGAGGACAGTTTGGCTGTTGTGCTTCACTCCCTTCAGCCTGTTACTTAACCCTTGTTGAGTCTTTCTCAGGGCCTGGTGCTATCGCCCTTGCTTGACTCCCAGTTCCAATAGGCAAGCCTATGTCCCGTTCCCCTCCCCACTCCCTTTGTATGGGCTATCCCTTAAGCTACTACGGTTGGTCAACTGCCTGTCATTCCCATCCTTAAACATCTCAAACCGCTGTGCTGATATCCCTGACTGCAAGAGCGTGTGATCACTGGTGTTCTAACGTTGTAGCGAGGATCTTCTCGTTGCTGAGCCGTGTTCTGGTTCTGCGAAAATGTGGGTTTGCAGGCAGCGTCTGGGTTTTCTGAGCCCATTGATTTCTTCCACCTGTATTTGTTGTGTAGCAGTGCTTCCATCTGTGGTCTGTTACGATATTCAGCTGAGTTCAGCAAGTTGCCTGACCAGGACTTTTGTCACTTGCTGAAGCAGCCGAATCTTCATTGAGGAAGGGGACGGGTGAGAAGGGGTTGGATGGGGAGCGTATCTGGGTAGGATGAGGGGGGAACGGGGGGTGCAGGGAGGCGGTGATTCTGGGAGTGGAGGGGGAGACGGGGGGGATTCGAGGGGGGATGATTCGAGCAATGGGGGGGGGGGGGGGGGGGGGAAGGGGGAAGAGGTGTGTGAGGCTGTTTGAGTTTCTGAGTCTGTTTGAGTTAGTGATGAGTCGGTTTTGAGTCAGTGTCAGTCCATTTCAGCCTGTGATGAGTCTGTGTCAGTCTGTGTGAGTCTGTGATGAGTCTCTGATGAGCCCATGATGAGTCCATATATCCTTTTGAGTCTGTAATTAAGTTGACACGTGCAGTTTGAAAATGATACATCACAACTGCACCCTACGTCTTTTGAGTCTGTAATTAAGTTAACGCGTGAAATGGGAGCCATATACGAAAACGTTGCAGGCGTATTTTGGCGTAACTGGCACCCAGTTCCCAACCGTGTTGAAATGTGGGGTTCCTTGTGTGTTTGCTGTTCATATTGCATTGCATCTCTCTCTCTCTCTCTCTCTCTCTCTCTCTCTCTCTCTCTCTCTCTCTCTCTCTCTCTCTCTCTCTCTCNGGGGGAGAGGAAAGGGGGAAGAGGTGTGTGAGTCTGTTTGAGTTAGTGATGAGTCAGTGTTGAGTCAGTGTCAGTCGATTTCAGCCTGTGATGAGCCTGTGATGAGCCTGTGATTAATCTGTGTCAGTCTGTGTGAGTCCGTGATGAGTCTGTGATGAGCCTGTGATGAGTCCGTATATCTGTTTGAGTCTGTAATTAAGTTGACGCGTGCAGTTTGAAAATGATACATCACAACTGCACCCTGTGTTTTTTGTTTTCCCAAACGTTGAAAGTATCATTGCTTATTGTAATCGACATGTCTGACTTGTGTTTCACATGAACAAGGTGTAATGTCAATCTTCGAGGAATAATTGAGAAAATTGTGGCTTGTGCGTTCTTGCAATTTGCACGACTGGTCTCCACGTTTATCCACTGCTGGTTGGTAGTGTTGATGTGTTTCATTACTGAGTTGCGTCAACATCGCCGAGGTTGGTTCGAAACTCCCATTTGCTTAATTATCTGTGGATGCATGCATTTTGTGTGTGTGTGTGCGTGTGTGTGTGTGTGTGTGTGTGTGTGTGTGTGTGTGTGTGTGTGTGTGAGAGAGAGAGATGAAATGTGTGAGAGAGAGAGAGAGAGAGATGAAATGTGTGTGTGTGTGTGTGTGTGTGTGTGTGTGTGTGTGTGTGTGTGTGTGTGTGTGAGAGAGAGAGAGAGAGAGAGAGAGAGAGAGAGTCGAATGACGGGTTGATCTTTTCAAAGATAGAATATGGTACGCAGCGGGTCATGGCATGATCTCACAATGGAATATTGGAGAAGGAACTCATCGACAATAAAGAAGAGAGAACAATATACTTAGCCCTTTCTCCCAAGGCACCCGTTCTATCCCGAATGCCTTTCCTCCACCTACACAATGTCCAAACGACTCTTCTATATTTCGTCTACGCCACCTACGCAAGAGAGGAGGGGACAATAGAGTTCAGTTGAAGTTTGACCAAGCTCCACCTGTACAAATGGCTTGGGCGACCGGTTCGTTGCCTTTTTGGCACCCGGGGGGGGGAGGGGGGGGGGGGGGAAGCACAGCCAGAAGAAGGTGTCCAGGTCTAGGAGTTTGTATTCTTAGGGGTCCACTCTGATGATGGCCTTGATGCGTCCGACCGTATCACATGGACCACCGTAGACCTTGGAAAAATCGTACGAAGGAGTCGAACAAAACGAATTTCGTAGAGCAGGTGCCAAACGTTTAGATTCGGACGGTGTGCTTGGAGCAAGAGAAGGGGTACTGCGGACATGTAAACAAAATTAAATGGGGGCCATGTGTTGGGGGGCGGGGGCGGGGGGGGGGGATGGGATGGAGACATTTCAACCTTCCTTAAAGCACAAATATATGAGAGAGAGAGAGAGAGAGAGAGAGAGAGAGAGAGAGAGAGAGAGAGAGAGAGAGAGACGTATGAACTTTCATGATGACAATGTTTTTGAAGGGGTAGCAATACCCATCATTATGCTCTCTCTCTCTCTCTCTCTCTCTCTCTCTCTCTCTCTCTCTCTCTCTCTCTCTGTGTGTATGTCTCTCATTCTATTTCTTTGTGGCAAAAGAAATGATATTAACAGAAAAAATATTAAGGACATGGACACAACTGACAATGACATAAATGATATGAACCATGGTTGGCCTCCCTGCGATACTCTCTCTCTGTCGTTCCATTTTCCAGATATCAACAAAGTAGACAAACCGGGAGACACGTAGTAGTGGACACGCCGCCAGAATGACAGCGAACCCATGTGACACAAACAAAGGTCAGGACAGAGCGAGAGTCAAGATGGACCAGTGTTGGGCGGACATAGTTCAGAAGCAACAGGAGCACATAGATAAACTAACGGCCGAACTGCATGAGCAGAGAGAGTTGGGTAGAGAGATTATAGCGTTGAGGGACCGTTACGAGAAGGACGTATCTGTAATGAAGGAGAATAAAAAACATAGCATGTACAATGTGTTATGGTTGTTTGATGGTTTGGATCGATATCACGCCGAAAGAAATAATCTGAAGCAGAGGATTGAAGAGCTAGAGGCGATATTGAAACAAGCAAAACTAACGTTCAGGCCTGTTGACATTGAAATAAGGACAGGAAAACGTCTGCCCATAGAAATCCCCCGACATGTCCCTCATCAATGGGATGTTGCATGTTGTCCACACACACAGACATGTGTGTTAAGG